TAAAACTGGGACGATCGGTGACTAAGACCAGTCAGAGAAGCCTCTATCTGACTTCCATGCGCCACCTAAAACTTCGGTTAAACTGACTAATAATACTCGACCGCTGTTCCCGAATACTTCCGATAACCGCCTATTTTCCATTGCCGCTCTTCCTCGTTTCGGATTACTTACAACCTTCTCATACATTATGTGGGCTGGAGAGCATATCCCGGTGTCTGATTCAGGATCCGGATGGATAGCGAGCAGCAGAATAGCAGGCTGAAGCAAGCTGAACTCCTTTTTCAAGTGCCACGCCAATCGTTTCGGTCATTTCCTTGCAAATAGAATCGTAGACCCATTATTCTCCGCTAAGAATTTACTCAATTATTGACGTTCTAGTCTCACCTTCTTTAAATAATCTTGACAGCTGTCTACTCTTATTAATCACTGAGGTCTTTTCCATCTCTTCAGGCTTCACTACCCATTACTGCCTGTGATAATTGCGTAAACTCTTTGTAAGTGCACATCTGGGTTGCTTTTGCTACGCATTACATTCAGAGCCTGTAGGAATGCACACATGTGCATCTTTTATTTCACTACAAGCTTCTGGGAGTCAGTTGTGGTATCTAAGGATATCCTTAAAGAAAACAGGAGATACTATCAGGTTCCGTTAGAATAAATGGTATTGTCCTGTTACAACAATTCTGTTATCTGTCACTGTGCAAAACAGCCTTCAAATTCTGATCGTCAAGGTGTTTCTGGAAGGATCACGCAAATGCAGCTTTTCTTTGTCCGGTTAGCTGCAGACATGCGCTTAATCACTGCGCAAACAGGCTACAGAAGGAGTGGTAGTCTTCCACCGACCTTCACCAGCGATGACTGACAGCAGTTTGATCAATCTGTGTCCACCACTTAGGATAACTTATTGTTTCATCTCTGAAGTTCGTGCTGGCCATAAATAGGTGGTTGTCTGAGCGTAGTTGTAGCAGGCGATAGCTGTCATTCGATGGTTCACCTCGGATTCCGAAGGTCACCTAAGTGTCTATCTCCTTAACTTAGCCTAATCACCTGTGCCTATCATCAGCTCGGACAGGTTGACTGCTGACGAAATCTCAGATCGGATACAGAAGGTCCACATCATCAATATCGCCAGAGAGATATCCAACTATCTACCAAAGGACGAGAATATTGAGCTGCAGTTTGTCCTGTCCTGTTGTACAGCTGTGAGACATGGCCGTTAAAAGTAAAAGACATGAAGCGGTTTCAGAGTTTCGATCATATGTGTCTTCGGAGTATTGCTTGCATCTGGTGGAATCACCGTGTAAGCAATGTTGAGATCAGGCGAAGGGTACTACGCAAGACAGGCAAGTCGATTGATGAGGTTATGAGCCTTCACCGGTTGAGATGGCTTGGACATGTGTTGCGTATGCTGAGTCACCGCCTGCCTCAAAGCACTATGTCAGGGTAAGTTGGATTACCTTGAAAGAGGGTTCAGGGTGGCCAGATTATAACCTGGTGTCAATCGATGAAGTCCCTGACTGCTGGTCTGAGCTGTGTTGGGACATATAGACTACCTGGCTGGGGTCCCCGAGACGATAGGAATCAGTGGTTGAGAACTCTTGGTGACATGAAAATCAGTCGCAGTGGCACCGATGTATTCACATCCTAAGCTAACCTTTATCTTCAAATTGCTTATTCTCTCACGCAACTTTTTTTACTTTGATGTCACTCTTATTCTATCCACCTGTTCTTTGTATACTATTATGAAGTGTGGTAACTTGAACGGACGCACTTGTGTGAGAGGTTCTATGTTGATTTTGTCTGTCTGTCAGCCAAGAACACATTGCTGGCACCGGAATACTTCAGGACAGAGAGGACCGACCTTTCCGAACCTCTCCTTCTTATAGACAAAGTAGCATCAGTATAGTACTGATGTCCAACAGCTTGGAAAATCGCATTATAAAGGTAACTGTTTTGTCTTGCCACTATCCAGCCAACCATCGAAATATGGTAGCACTTCGAGGTAACATGTGCTTTACCAGTTCAACTCGTTGAGTCATTGCAATACATAAAACCAACCACCACATTAACATAGCAGTTGGTCACATGTATAATTAGTACAACGTTTAAATATTTTTTTAAACAGTAAAAGACTTAGAGTTATGGTAATTTGGTCGATTGAGACTAGCAGAGGAATCCAGCATGCGCGTTTCATCCTATTTGGAGCTCATCAGCTGGATGTACCTGCACCCCAGAGTGTTGTTGTTCCCACTTGGACTCGAACCATCGCTTCAAACGCCAAGGCGTCATCTACTATGCCACGGAGGGACGATAGCCACTTCTTGTACAACGGGTAGTAGTTACTACTATTTGTTGACATATTTGTAATTCTACGTTGTTTTACTGGATCGAATTGTTTGACCTCAATTGGCATATGGGCTCCTATGCGGATGCCCCGATAATGCCTGAATGCTAACTACGGAAATTACGGTCGAACAATTCGACCCAATAAAACAACGGAGAATCATAAATATGTCAATAAATAGTAATGACTTACGGTTATGTTTAGAAGTGAGTTTGGAGAGGGAAACTATTGCGTATATATATATATATATATATATATATATATATATATATATATATATAGGCTGAATGTGTTTTGGTGAAAATATTGAGGCGATCGGCTGTGCTATATCGACCAAAATATGTTGCAACCATTGACACACTACAATCACCCAACTAAAAGCAAGTTAATTAAAATGGAGCGTTGACTTACAAGTATCAAATGGAATCCCCTAAAGACACACTATGGGAGGTATACAGATGAAACATGTCTTCCATATCTAATTAGCATTATATTTGATATCTGAGACCTGCCCAAAAATTTCCTCCGCTTTAGGATAAAATAAATTCATAATTCTCATTAACAAAGACAAGATATTCAGCAAAGGACTGTTTTCAACAAATTTATTCTCAAACTGTACATCCGTATATATATGTATGATATTTAAAGACTGCAATTCGTGAGGAAGATTTAACTTAGATAATGGGGGGTTTAAACAATAATGATGGTCCTTATAATAATAAAAATAATGTTGCTAGTTGATGAGGCAAAGGTTAGATGATAATAAGTCTTAGCCAAACTATGAATTATTTTGACATCTATAAACGATACTTAGATGATATACTCGTCACTTGTGACTCAAATATCGATTTCGATGACATCCTACGCGAGTTTAAAAATCGTCACTCAGCGTTGGAATTCATTACAGAGAGGGAATTGGAATCAGGTATTCCTTTTCTTGACGTGCTGATTACTAGACGTAGCAATGCAACGCTGAAAAGACCTATCTACAGGAAGCCCACGCGGAACGGACAGCCTACTAATTTTTACAGTTGGGTGACGATGATGAAGAAAAAAATCTCATTCACTCACTCTGCTATCAAATACGTAATGTTTGTAGCACAGACCGTGTGCAAGTTGAACTTGACTTTCTGAGAGGGACGCTCGCGGAAAACAGCTATCCTAGCTGATTTATTGATAAGAGTATGGGAGAATGACATGCGAAATCAGCCATCAGCTCACTTTATAAGAAGACACTGTTCATGAATCTGGACTTCAGAGGTGATCCCAGAACCTGAAAAATCATCTTTCCAGACCAATTAGTAGGACTTTTTTCTCAGCCAAACTTCACCTGGTCTTTACCAGTCGTAAATTGTTCTCCGTTTGTATAAAAGACGATATCCCTCGACAGGCCACATCCATGTGTATCTACCAGGGTGAAACGAAATGCATCAGAAGTTCTATCCTTGGAAATTTAGTCGGTTCCAATCATTCAACCGAACCAAATAACGATTTTAAGGCTGTCTATCAAATCCATTAACATCTCACATTTTCATATAAAAACAGCACGGGCCTTGGCTACCCATGAACTGAGGCCTGACTTTTGTGTGCAAAAGAAGTATTCATAGTCTTTGTCTCTACCTTTGTCTTAGCTTATTTTGGTCTTGGTGTGCTTCATCCCCTTTTTGTTTTCTCAGCTTCCCCTTTTTTCAGATTAATCTTTGTACCCTTATATAGTCATTATCATTTTTATTTTTACATTTAATAGTTTCCGGTGTTACTTTATTTGATCTTCCTAATAAGTGCAACTTCTAACAAAACATTTTTGCTCATATTACCTAATCCTTCGACTGTTTATTAGCTCTATCGCGTTTCCCCTCCTTTGTAGTCTAAATGCACCTTATAAACGATTTACAAATCTTACGTAGCCCTTTTTGTTATCATTCAATTTTTGCCACATCAACTAATAACATTAACTATTATAAGGGCCATCATCGTTATTTAAACCCCCCATCATTTAGCTCAAATAGTTTTTAAATGTGATATATATATATATATATATATATATATATATATATAAATTTGTTGAAGAGTCCTCTTCGCAGAACATCTTGTCTTCGATAAGAATTATCTGTTGCTGACCCCCTATGGATACCAATGGAAATAAGTAAACCACTTAAGTTCAGACTATAGAATATGAACTGTAGGACAAAAGTAGCTGCTATGTATCCTACAGACCCGTTTTTGCGCCTCCTTTACGCAGACAAATACAGAGCCACATAAAAAACTGAACCAGGCATACGAATTATTCGTAAGTTCTTCTGCCATATAATTGCAGTCTTTTGCTTGATTCTATGGCATACTTAGAGAAGCTAAATTATCAAAAAGAATACTGCCAGACATTATGTTATCTTACATCACCCCTGATTAACAAGTCAGTAGTGACCCAATTTGTCCAGCAGAAAGACTTGTGCTAGATAGTTTTAATAAACACACGCATGTCCACCTAGTTGTCTGGTATTACTGAAAGCCAAACCAGAGATTTCGACGTCAGTTAAGCTGAGTTCACAAGTGAGACCACGAAAATCTATTCTTCAGGTCCAGCTAGACCTAGGAACTATAAAACAAATAGTTACGACAAAATATCAAAGTTCCAACATATTTTTACATCACTTACCTTTGTCCAGGTGAATAATACCAAAAAAATAAGGATGGAAATAGTGCGACTGTCAGAAAAAAAAAAGATGCAGCCCGATTTAGAAAGATGTCTTCTTCTTTGTCAGTCTCATGGTAGCCGTATGAAACCCAGTCCTGAAAAACTGTAGACATTAAACACACTGAGTAACCTTAGTTATTTCTTTAACCTCCTTCTCAATTTGCTTTTTATCAGCTTCAGGTATATTGTTTTCTTTCAGTATGTGTTTCATGGGATTCAACTCAGAACACAATTGTCTAGAAGTGTAGATATGCTTTTTTGTGTTACGGGATGTGACAACTGCAACACAATGATAACCTCGACTGCGCAGTGCACTCAAAGTAGATAATTTCAACATAGTTATCTAATGAGTGTAAGTCACCGAAGAAAATTCTAACTTACAAAATGCGATATCCAACCTCGCGCGGGTAAGATAAAGCATTAACCTCCGTTGTTCTGATTGGTCAGTACTATATTAAATTTTGAGGGAGTTGTGGAGATTTGGAATTATTTCAAGTTGTTATTCATCGTAGACTGACATCAGTTGGAGGAACAAAGGAAACCTGGGAGCACTGGACAGCTGTTTCGTTCAACTAGTATGGGACTCCTCAGCAGTGCGCACCCAGGACCCCACTAGCAGGGATCGAACCCGCGACCTTCAGGTTCCACGGCCAGCGCGTTACCATTGAGCCACTGGGTCACAATCTGATGCTCCATATTTCCAACTTCTGTTAGCTCACGATATATAGCGCAACCGCCATCCAATGTCATCGCTGAGTATTTGTCCTCACGACCATTAGGCTTTGACTCCACCGGTCACGACTTGTCATTGGAACTTCGGGAATACTTCTCGAAACTAGTCACCAATGAGCACCAGTTCAATTAGATTTTGAGGAAGTTGTGGAGATTCGGAATTATTTCAAGTTGTTATTCATCGTAGACTGACATCAGTTGGTCATGTTAAGTAGAACCTCCATATCTGCATTCACTTTATTTCCGGAATAATTTGTAAGTAAAGGGGTTAGTTGCACTGCTGTCAGGAAACTTCTTTCTTTCCTTCCGCCTACATACGCGGTCTCGTAGGTCCTATAAGTACTCTTGAGTAACTACGCCTAACCCACAGTGTGCTCCTATCCCCACCACTTCCGATCTTTTGTGAAGAGTAAGTTAGTAGGTTTTTAAAAATAAATCGCACTTTCTCGTGGATTAACCATTTCATGAAGTTGACAGTAGCGTATACTACAATGAAATAGGTGTTGGTACTACCATTAGCCGAAACTTCGCGCTAAACCTAGCTGCATCACATCGTGTGGATTTTTTATGGACCTCACTGAAGTGCATTTAAATGGAAGTGAACAGTTACAACTGAGCAATTTCTACTCCATTTCTACAGATGACGCAGGCAATGCAATGCTTCATGCGATAAGGAGGAATTGTTGAGATCGTCTGCGAAATGTCCTCTAAGTTTTTACCCACGGAAGCCAGTAAACACAGACTTCAACACTCAGATTTCCACCGAATTGGCCCATGGAAGACGCAACACACGAACAACTTCTATGCATCATTAACGACTCACGTGATCCTCCAATAAACTCCTATAATTGCACGTGTGAGTCTACCTTTTTGGCTCCATGCTCAGGCCTGAGGTAAGAAACGAAGTGTTCTGCTACTTCGTCAGCAGCTTAGTTCCGTTCTTCCCAGTCCTCCAGTAAGCGTTTACGGCAGGTAGCTGCGCCTTTCTGACCCACAGGCTATCGGGGTATAACAGCTCACTTTTTTATGCAGCAGGCTGATAAAGCCGGCGTAACATCAGTCGTGCACAACTACGAAATGTGACCCTAAAGTTTGAGCTATCCTCTGAGATCCCATGGAAGGGGTCAGAAATTCGTGGGTTACAAGTGCAAGGCATGTTTCAACATATGTTCAGTAGGCAACAAACAGAGAATAGTCGGAAAAGTAGGTCATATATCTGGCATTTCAAGTCTTCGGGCCGTAGTTGGAGTGGTTCGGGACCTAAAAGGAAAAGTAAAACGAGGTGTGACAAATGGCGCACAGTAACGCTAAAATGTTTGAAGGTCGTTAGCGCTGTTACTACTTACCTTCTATGCCTGCTTGTACCCTTGGACTGCGGCCCATTGGTAGTCAAGGGGTAGTAAGCAATGGTCATTCGGTCGTCGGCATTCTTTGAAAGGAATCTTTTCATTCTCCTGTATGAACTCTCCACTCCGTTGTCTATCGTATTCTCCATCATTACAACTCCACCCCTGAAAGCAAAGGCCCACATATGCCTTTTAGGAAGCTAACTAGATCACAGACACGTGCCCAAGACTTTTTCACCGTTCATATAACTCCCTCGCTCATATAACTCTTATACAGCTTTCAGTAGGCGATAAAGGCATTGCGTAAGCTACGAGAATGTGTGTCTAGAAGACAGCATTATGCACCCCACGTCTCCTTAAGTTTTTACCGAAAGCCTTGAACACATGAAATGCACATAAGCGTGTAGAAGCTAGACTAAATGCTTTACATGGTCCAAATGGTTGTTGGCGGAGTAGAAGGAGCTTTCGCTGAGCTGGCTTCCGTGTCTGCTACGGACGTGCTTTGTGTCTGATACCTCGCTCCGCGCACAATCCATCATAAATGTTTGCATTTTTGAAGTACCGCTGGAAGGCTGTTGTTATGAGCGCTGTATTCACTGCAGTCACCACTATTTATCACATCGCCATCATGGTCTGCAGAGAAGACAACACTAAAGTAATACGATGGATATTCAGCTTTAGATACCTCAGATACCACCAGGCTACATAACTTTTCATCTTTCGCCAGAAGGAGAGTCCTATATTTCCTCCCAGTTCTTCTGATGAATGTGAATACTCTTCATCAGGCAGCTCAGAAAGTTATTTGCAAGCTGTTTCTCATCGGAAATTCAAGACCATGTAACCAGAGTTTCGCTCGCCTTACAAGCTTAACAGTGCCCAGTTTTGAATATTCGCAGACCATTCTCCATTAGCAAGTTCCACAAAGGCTTCCCTCATCTTCACAGTCCTCCAATATCTTCATCGAACTACGGGGCTGTATGAGGATCGTGGTGGGGTCGACCATGGAATGAACAGCGCCGTTACCTCTTCAATTAGGGTTCTAAACACAATCAAGACGTTCTCGATTGATGAGTTCTTGCCAATAACCCAGACCTTAACGACTCCGTAATCCACACATCCGGTCTAGTGAGGGCAGTATCGTAACCAAACACGTGTTTGAAAACCAAAAGTTAGCATTGCATGATCACCATTAACTAACAGAAGGAAGTATCGCAGATCGATAATATCTTTATATCGGTGGGTCAAAGCCAAATCTAATAACTATGGCCTGTGTTCAAAATAGCATCGCATTACACAGGTTGAGTTTCGAACTAAAACAGATTCTAGTACCATTAAAAGTGAGCCGTTTACGAAAGAACTGCTCGAGGCTGACCGTTAGCCCCGTCCGTTTGTATAGAGTATTTAGATGTTCAACTATTTAGCTTCTGCTGCTCCTACTCTGGCTGCGTATGTGGGCTTACACAAAGTCATTTGCAAGGCAGGATGGACTACGGCAAAGTACCCCAATTGACAAGAAACCTCACTTTGACTTCGGCCCACAGCTGGCCACTTCACGGGCACCGGACTCATGTACTCCGTAATCGGCTGTTTACGTCATCACGGATGCACAGTAGTATGCTGCCACCTTTGCAACCTACAACCCCACCCTCTCTTACACAGTAATATCCTGTACGAAGTGGTGCAAAGTCTTAATCCCTTATTAGCCAGATTATTTCAAGGGCAACTGCATGACGGCCTACTTCACAGGTTAGAGTCTCGAGCAAGATCATTTTAACTTCTACTACTGAGAACGTTGGTGTAAACTACGTTTACCGTACTTGAAGAGTTCCGCGACCCAACCACACAGGTCTTGGAGGCACTCGTTTCCAAGACCTCATGAAGAAAAACCCACAGCTGTAAGACTGTTTTCTAACAGTTGTCTGCATCATACATATTGGTTAGCTTGTTAATTAATCTGCTGGAACCACATAAACGTGGAGTGAAAGGGTTCAACTAGCCTTTTTGGTCAAAAATAAGTATGAGAAGGGCAACAAAACCAGCATTACGACGCAAAATAGTCAACTCGCCATTTGAAACTTGTCGAAAATAGGGTAAATTCGGAACAAACTGGACAACTTGAGCGATCATGAAACCAGTATGGCCAGCCTTATTCAGAATGTACAATCTCAAATGCCCCATGAAAAGCAGCTTGTGAGGGGTTGCCAAAACTGCCCTAAAGAAGTGTTCGCATTCATCAGAAGGACCGAAAGAAAATATGGAACTCCTTCCCTGGTGATGGGCGGAAAGTCCGATAGCGTGGCGAAATCCAAGCTATCCAAAGCCGAATATCTATCAGGTTACTTTAGTGAGGTCTGCGTGGATCGTGTTGCTGAAGCGCCCAGTAGTGGTGTAAGAGCTACCCAATTAATGGATACAGTGTTCATAAGAAGGGGAGCAGTCTCCTGATTGCTGATTATTCTTAAACCTGGGAAATCCCCGAGCCCAGGTGAGTTACACCACAAACTTCCATCTTCGCCATCGGACGTTGTTGCTGAGCCAGTCACTGATCTTTCCAGCATGTTCCCGTCTCAGACTCGCCTCCCTAGAGGCTGGAAAGATGCAATAATCAGCCCAGCTCTCAAGGTTGGTGGTCACCGGCTGGCCCTATGACTGCAACTAGCGTAGTCATCAGGGCTTTTAAAAAAATACTTCGTGATAAAGTACTTGAAAATGTTTAGTCAACTGATCTTTTAGCACCACAGCAACACGGTTTTCTTACCGGACACTCCTTTTAACAGACCCTCCAAACAAGCGGAATCACTGGGGAGGCTCTCCTCTCTCGTGTCTAGTGTTACATTCTAAGCCTGGATTGGAGACTTTCTATAAGACAGAAAACAAAGGGTGAGGGTCAGTGGGATACTGTCCAGATGGAGTTCCTCGAGGAACAATCCTAGACCCACAATTTTCTTGTTATACATCGACGAACTGCCACAAATGCTTAACTCCTCGGCGCTGCCATTCGCCGATGATGTAAAGGTTTAGGGAGCCATACGTAGTGATTCTGGCAGGTGTGCATCTCAAGCGAGTTTTGATGGACTGGCAAACTGGCTCAGACATTGGTGCCTGTGGACCAATCCTAATGAAAGTGCAATAATGGACACTGAACGTAGCAACTGCCTCCAGTATTCCATCGATGGCACTCCACCACTCCCAACCTTTGAAACGAAGGATAGGCGTCGTCATAAGTCACGATTTGAAAACCTCAGCTAACTACAATGCA